ATAATTTATTTTTTTTCTTAGAGCTTTTTACTCTAGAGGATCCTGGCAGTGGTTGCTGGTGTATTAGTCAAAATTGCTACTATTGTGCTGGGAATAACAGCAGAGGTGATGGTAGCATCCAGTAGCTGGTAAAAAGAAAGACATGACATGATCTACTGAAAACTCAGACAAAAAGGACTTTTCAGCACTCTCAGCCCTTGTTTGGGACTTTCTAGAGGTGCAGACTGCAGCCTTGCTACTAATTAGACAGATGACAGCATGGAGCAGAGCACTCTCCACAACGAACATCTTTCAAAATGTATTGTCGAATGAGAAAGACATAGTGCAGAATAGTTGGGTTGAATTTTTTGTGAGGAAGAATCAGTGAAACATATTCACTACACTTCTTAAAAAATGTTCTTTTCTTTGAGCTGGCTTTTACTTTGAAGGTATTGCCTAGAAAGAAGGGCTGAGGCAGGAAAACAAGATTGGTAATATGAGGTAGACCAGGAAGGATATGGAAAGGATAGAAGATGCAGTGCTGCTAAGTTGAAAACTCTCTGAGAATAGGAGGAGATCCTTTTTTGTGTCAATGCACAAAATTAAGCACAATGTTTTTGTTGGACCTATGCCTAAAGAACATAAGTGAGAAGACATGTGATTCACTGAAGTACGTTAGTCAGGCAGACAAGCTTATCTTGAAGACTTCCGTGTAGATATGATGACTGTAATTGTACAAGAATAATGTCTGAATTGTTTAAAATATTTCTTCTTTCTCATCATATTTCATTCATTGCAATTTGCTTGCTAATATGATGTTCTTATGGTTATTGTGGTACAATATTGCACTTAAGCAAAGAAAATACAGCTGAGTTTTGACACCATGGCTGTTATTTCTAACTGCTCACACCTACATATAGAATTTTTTATTTTTTTATGGTATCTGTGTGTCTGTGTTTAAAACACATATATATTCACTAAATGTTTATACAGACAAATACAATTTTATATTCTAACAATTTTGGAAGGTTACAAAATGTAAGGATTAGAAAGGTCCCTAATAATTTAAGATAGATCCATGGAACCAGAGGAAATTGTTTGTTTTGCGAAAGAGATGCTTAAACTGACCTGTACTGCTTAAATAGGCAGGACTTCATTACAAATAACTTTGAAAAGTGATTTGCTATTTAGACATGTTGCTATTGCCTTGAAGTAATTCTCATAGATGAAAGTTTGTCTACATGTAATTTGCAGGATCAGAGCCCTCAAAATTTAGTTAAGGAACCTTGAGTTTTCAACTTCACGTACGAAATACTGATCTACCTTTTAATTTCTTGCTAGACAGCTTTCTCAAGAATGGATATAGTTTCTTAAAGTTCACTGTAATGTTGCACCAGCGATGTTTGACATATTTCTCATGCTTCATCACCGATTGGGTCACACATTTGCTGACAGTGACTTGTCTTCACACTGCTAGCGTTAATTCTGTGTATCAATCATGGAAACCATGATGTAAGAAGCAAACTTTGAAACTACGATGAAAGCAAGTAAGCTCTTTCTTAAGGCTTCTAATGTGTCCTTTTGTAATCATAAAAAGAAACAGAATTTAATATTAGAGGGTTCTTAGGATAGCTGATTTGACTATGATTACAAAGTGTTCTTTAGTAATATGGAATTTTTGCTTTAGGATTGTCCTGAATCTCTTTCATTTGAGAGAACATCTGATTTTAGATCAACAGTTGTTTCCATCAAGATGAGCAATTATAGAAGTCGGTACCCCTTTACAAAACATGGAAAGGCAAATCCTCCCTTGTTTCCCATCAACTTCTGTAGATGTAGGGTTTCACCTGTAACCTCTACTCCTAACTTGTCTGAGCACAACCTCTAGCACAACATGGTAAGGTGATATATAAACACGTGTATATTGTCTTCTTGGGTTTTGCAAGTGTTGAACTCGAAAGTGGTCCAGAAGTAGACCTTCTCTCACCTTTCTGCAGGGGTGCAGTCTCTTCACTCAGTTAAGCATCATGGGTGGCACCAAAAAGTAGGACTAACTTGTCATTCAATCTTCTGCTCTCTCTCAATATTTCTTAATTCTGCACGAAATTTGAGTATAATTGCATTTTATGATCTATCTTATTTTTGTATTTAACCTACAAGTAAATACCATTTAAGTAATGAGTTATGTAAGCTACAGGTAAATGCCATTTAGGCAATGAGGGTTATTTTAGTTCTCTTATGGCTGCAAGAAATGATTCAGTGAGGTGCAATGTATTTTACGTTGCTGTGCTGCAAAATATATTTATGGATATTTTTCCATTTCCTCCATCTTACACTTACAAGAAAAGATAATGACAGACTACCTTTTGTTTTTTGTTTTTTTTTTGTTAGAGTTCCAGTTCAGTTGTAGAAGTTCAGCATAAGCTAATTTGGAGCTGGTTAAATACTTAGGAGTAATCTGTCTGATCTCACATACAACTACCATTAACATGCCAGCTATGTTTATATTGAAACAAGCTCAGATGGCTTCATGTCCCCACAGAGGATGGAGATTTAATCTTTGAAATAAAAAAGGCATAAAGATATTCTTTAAGTAGAGGCTGGGTAAACTGACAACGCTCTGTAGGAAGTGAGTAATTGTCAACTCTGCGTACCAGCCGTCGTACTTGTAAATACGAGCAATGTGTTTCTACTTCGCTGCAATTTTCTTCATATATTTTGGAAGACTGAAAGGTGACCAATTTCTACATATGGCCTCATTGTGTATTCCTTATGCATCCAACATTCTGCTTGAGTTGAGGTTTGTGGAGATGAAGCTGTGAGAATTCTTAGGGAAGAGAACTATGGATACAAGAGATATAACCCTGGGGTGCTCTGCCAACAATTCTGTGAAGAAAGTTGGGCTGTATATCAAACTAATATCAACATTCATAATTCAGTATTAAGGACCATGTTCTGGCTACCTTTCTGATATTTGAAGAGTGACACTACTAGTTAGGGAGAACAAGTGCAGTCAGAATCTGGAGCTGACTGATAATTAAATTTGACTAGAAACTGTAAAAATATTTGACATGATAGCAACGTGAGAATGTGCTGTATAATGTCATTTTTAATGCATCATCGTAACTTGACACTGGTCTTTCAGTCTAACAATAATTAACATTTCTTGACTGTTTGTATTTGGCTTACGGTATGTCTCAATGTTGTGTGTTGGGAATTGTAAAAGGTGCATGATTGTGCTGTTTCTGTTCAAGTTGTTTCTAATTAATAACTTCACTGTCCAGTGTTCTTTCAATAAGGGTACCTAATACAATATTACATTATTTTAGGTGTAGAGAAACTGGCTTTTCAACTAAACGGAATGATGCATCTCAATATACAAGGGCATATGCATGTGTGTAATCTATGCATGTATACACATGCGCATATACGTGTTTATTGGTTTAGACAAGGTCTCCACCTGCTTTTCTACTCACCCTGAGCTTCTCAAATCTCAGGCAGCTGGAAGGAATCATGACTCTTCATGAAAGCTGAAAGTCATAAATCTCACGATTAATTAATATACACTCTTATTGTGATATTCACTAGAACTTTCTCTCTCCCCAAAATTCAGCAATTTAAATAACATTAAATAAAGGTATAATGACTAACAAATGCCAGATAAAGCAGGATTCTACTACCTGCATGGGTGGCTTAGTGAGTCGAGTGACTGTATCGTTTTATCCCTTTGATCCTTTGAGTTTGTAGTCACTAAATTACATATGTGGGGTTTTTATTATTCTGATTCCACAATACAAGCACTTACATTTCTTTTATGTTCTAAGTATCTGCTATTGTTTCTTGCCAGAAAAAAAATACATTTGTGGGTCCTTGGGCTGACCCAGCATAGTTGTTTTTCATTTGTTCAGTTCTGTAGTAGCTAAATTTTGACTCTTTTTCTAGAGTCTTAATAATTTCTCTTTCATCTAAGAAAGGAGTTGATTTCAAGAAAGTTTAATGTTCAGCAATAAAAATATAAAGAATTTTTCAGGTTGTTAATTTATTAACTGAAGGACTGTCTTACAAGAGTTCAAATAATTAGAAAATAAATAAATTCTGAATATTCATACTAATTCCAGTGGTTTAATTTATATTTCAATACTATTATTAAAACATATTTACAACATAAATTAAATGAAGAAAAGTTGATACTAACTCTTAGAGTAATAAAGGTACTTCCAGTGTAATACATAAATCTCAATAGCAATGCACATATAAATCTATTTTAGCTTAACAATATCAAGTAGCCAAAATGTATTTGGGACTGTGATGGGATTTGTGTGAGCTTTCTGCTTTGAAAGCATGCTTCTGGCTTTGAATTTCAAACACTACCTTTTGTAGCAGGTGGACGAAAGTAATCCTATTTTTTTAAGGAAGCCAGCTAATTGTATGTCTGTATCACATTCAGTTAAATCTTTGGTGATGGGCTTTGAAGAGAGTGTTTTATGTTTTGCTTTCTTTTGTTCAGGCTTTGGTTTTGGGTTTTTTGGTTTAGTTTCTTACTGTCAGTCTTTGCTGAGAGGTTACTGATACCACTGTTAAAAGTAAACTCTTCATTGGAGAAAGCTTTGACAAAATCTCTAGTCTGAAACAGAAACTGGAAAAGTGCAAAGCTACGGGGAGGAAAGTGCCTTCCTCCCCGTTGCCTGAGAATTTCTTTTTTTTTTATGTGAAAGCAAAAAAAGTCTTGACAGAAAACCTAATCATAGCATAGTAGATTAAACCAACCTTATTTTGGTCTGAAGATAATAATTACTGTTATACAGTAATAATGTTATACAGTATTTATTGAATTGGGGTTGCTTGAGTATTTTTTCCATTGTTTTCCAAGCATCATTCTAAATACAATTTTCTGTTTGGTCACTACTTGGATAATGTGAATGGTACCCATTATTGAAAGGTAGTCTGTATTTGTACTAATACAGAGAATGCTAGTTTAGAAATGAGCCTGATTGCATGGTTCATTTTGTTCTCCTTTGTAGAGCCAGGCTGCGGCCCACTACAAAGGCACTAAACATGCCAAGAAGCTCAAAGCACTGGAAGCCATGAAAAATAAGCAGAAATCTGTTACTACCAAGGACAGCGCAAAGACTACCTTCACTTCCATCACTACCAATACCATCAATACCAGCTCTGACAAAACAGGTTAAGCGACAATCTTTGTTGGTTTTGTTTGGTTTGGTTTTTTCCTTGTTTAATTCCATGTCTGTTTGGTTATGTGCTTGCCACATTGATTCATGCTCAATCCATCTTTCTGTGTGATATTGTTTTCTTTTAGTCCTTTCAGTAGGCTGGTGAGAGTGTGATAGTCATGTAATGAATTTCTCTTAGTGAAAAGAGGCTTGTCATTCTTTGAGGACAGAATGCAGTACTCATGACTTGATTAATTTTTATAGTGGCTAAACTACTACATATCAACTGATCTAAACCTTCTAGCTGTATGCAGTATCTCTATGAATAATTACATATGACATTTCTTTTAACTACAATGTAGCAAATTGCACTACTTGAGTCTAGAAGCCTCTTACAAAAGCGTTGTTAGTAAAAACCTAATTTTCATAAATTTCAAACATTGCATTATTTTTTTAAAATGGCTGTTGCATGGTTTTGAGCTGGAAAAGAGCTGTATAACCTCTATTCCACGCAATGAGGTAAGTGCTATTGATGCCTATTATTCTGCTTAAATGAGTCTTCAGACTTAAATAATATCCTTTACATTATTGTGTGGGTAAAAGGTACACCTCTGCAAATAAAATCTATGTGAGTATTTGGTAAAGTCAACAGGATTTTATTAAGCTCACATTTAAAATATGTGGCAATTGTAACGGAAATTTCAAAGGAAGGTTGTAAGTTTACTGAACAGTAGTCTAGTATCTCACAAAGTATGACTGCTTTTGTGTATGAAGGGATACAGTTTGCATTAGTCATAATAAACCCCCTTCCCCAAACAACCCAAAAATGGCGATGGCGAAAGAGCCAAAGCTGTGAAACAACAGAGACCTTTCTACTGATGCTGAAAACTGCTCATTTGGAACCACTTCTGAAGCAGTAAGTTTAGCTTTGTAAATGGATGTGCACTAACTCATTATAGTATAACAAAAAAAGTACTTTGCAGACAAGTGCATTCATTTCCTTCAGATGCATCTTTGCTGTATGTTATAGAGATACCTTTATGTTTCTCTCTATATATCTCTTTGTTATAGCCCTTTATTATACACAGCGTATGTTTTTATGCAGATTTGTATTCTGATTATAATGGGGTTGCTTTAAAAAACAATCTTTACGTTATTTTCATGTTTGTTAAAAAAAAGGAAGAAAATATTCTGAGTGCTTTTGTTTCTGTGATGAAAGAAATGAAGCATAGGAGAATAGGAACAATGTCAAAAGTTATTTACGACAATATGTGTTTCTAAACATACAAATACCTTTAGAAGTTTCTCCTGCTGTTACCTGTTGACACGTTCAGAACAGAGAGGTGGATGTTGTATGGAAGGAGTGATTTATTGTTTACAAAATATGATCTAGTGATTGGCGAAAATAACTGAAGAAAAAAGAGATCTTCTTAAGCTTTAAAATGTATTATTCAAAAACTTTTATCTTATGCTGTGTCAGTTTGAAGGATTTTCCAAGGTGCCTTAAAACCAGTCTGCGTCTTTTCTATCAGGCATTGAATTAGGTCCCTGACAAGATGTATGAACTGTCTTGTGTCCAAGGTCAGTGGTAAAAATCAGGTTTTATGTAGGCATAAGTGAGAAAACATGAGAAATCTACTTGCGCACAAAAGCAATGCCCCATGCAGGAGTTTCCTCAACTTTACACATTGTTTGTGACTTCCTGGGTTAATTTCATAGAATGTGTGTATACATTTATGTATGTACTTGTATACTTATATGTATTATATGTTGGAAGTACTGACCTTAATGGCATTCTAAATGACACACATTGATGTTAATTGACAAACAGCCCAAAATCTGACAATTTCCCAAAATACTGAGAGCCATATTCAACTGCTGGCAAAAGCCCTATTCAACTGGTGGCATTCAAAGAAAGGCAGCCAGTTCTGTCTAAATGCAAAGACAGTTATTACAGGTTAGCACTGATGTGACTGGCAGTAGAATAGCATCCTTGCTGTAAATTGTTCTTCGTAGAATCAAGCATGTATGCATAGCGGGAGGAAAAAGAAATGGAAAAAAAGAAGAAATTTTGGGTAGCCAGAAGGATGAAATTTTTTGTTACACATGCCAAGTTAAAAATATCACAGATTGGGTTTTCTTTCCTTTCCAGTTGTTCTGTGTCTTATGTTTGCTTGATATAACTTCTACTGGTAAAGTTATTTCTGAAAGCCAGAATAACATCAGAATATACTGCACTGTGTGAGTTTGCACATTTGTAAATGATCGCTGTAAAATATTCTGATAGTAATATGCAGTTCTGAGCGAATAGTTGTACTAATGAATATAATTCATTAAATAACCTTTCATAACTAGAAATAGGTTCTGTTGCTAAGTCCCTGCACTTGTGATCATTCGGAACAAAAGCTTTTTCTACAGTATTTTAAAGCTTTCTGTTGAAGATTAATACTTGATCCCAAATACACTGAGGATAGGGTCATGTTCATATCACCTCCAATATATCATGTATGGCAGTGGTTAAATGGTGAATTACATGTCAGTCACAGCACATTGGTCAGGACTTCAGTTCAGTGGTTCTGTGTACCCTTAGCAGCTCCAGCAAACAAAATGTCATCAGGAAATCTGCAGTCCTATGCAATGAAGATTATGAAAAAGACCACACAGTATACAAACTGATTTAAGACCTAAAGCAGCAATTTGTTATGTTGTCTATTCTGAAACTACTTTGTTAGATGCGGTGCCAGCATGTGTTATTGCAATTAATAATGGAGACTGTGCAACCCACCATGTAAGAAGACTCCTTAAAAATTTTCAGAAATGATTCCTGGTAGTTAAACTATGTGTTAAGGAGAAAACATAAAATATGGGGTCATTTTGCTCACTGTGAAAGTTGCTACTTTTTTATACCCGTTTAAACAAACTTCTATAATTATTAGAAGGCTTGAACTTCAGAAATCTTTGGGGGAATGAAATATCATGAAGAGTTACGTTGGCAGTCACAGAATGGACAGTGCCATTCTCAACATGTGGGAACTTCGTTACTGGTTCTATTATTTAACATCCTTCTTTTGTCTGTATTTACAGTTTATTATGTGATACCTGTAGTCACTCAGGACAAAAAAACAGGAAGGGTGACCATTTCAAAGACAAGCCCACTTTACGCAAGTATACAAGCCGGATTTCAGTATTTCTTGATTCTCCAGTTCAAGGGGTAACAACAAAAAATCATATTTTCACCGTATATTAACATACATGCATACATATTCCCTGACATAAAGTTTTTAAATGGCCTAGATAGCTTTTTAAATTACCCCTCTTTTCTGCCAAGCTATATTTTCCTCACAAAGACGCATCACAAAGATGCTTCACACCTTCAATTTGGTAAGGACAGATGCTTTAGGAAGACCTTTCAGAATATATTTAAATCGACTGTTTTCTATCATCTAAACTGTATGTCATGTAAAGTCATTGTCCCACACTTGGATGTGTCCAAGATTATATCCATGAAAAATGATATCCCTATAGTTGTTGCATATGTCTAAATATTTATCTTTTCCAAAGCTTTTTGAAGTTAAAAGGACTTTCCATGACCACATTATCACGGATTAGGTCCTGAAGATTTAGGCTATTTTGATTTATTTATTTATTTATTCAGCAGAGAATTCAGCATGATTTATATCATTTATTATCAGTGGAGAAAAGGGAATAGACCTTTCCAAGGGAGGAAAATATGTCATTGGGAGCCATCACTATGGCAAAATTTTTAATGTTGCTTTTGAGTGTTATACACTATGTCTCAAATGCTATGTACTTAAATGCAATGAACAGCTCTTAAAAACAGAGGAAAATGTGAGGAACAGAAAAAGTGTGTATCTGGGCCAAGGCAGAGAAATGATCATCTGTCATTAGTACAGTCTTAACAGCTAAGAGACACCCGTGCTGTCAGAGAACAAAATACTGGCGCCTGTCGTAAAGAGCTTGTAGTCTACACATCAGATGAGAGACACTTAGGGAGATAGTCACTGTTAATGTAATAGGCAGGTGTTTTAAAAGAAGAGTAGCATAGTTCAAGTGATAAAGGCATCACAAGAAATGAGAACACTGAAGGATTGATTAGAAGGAAAAGGAGAAGGGTTTTTTCCAGATGCTGAACTTCTGTGTGAGTAACTGCACGGGAGAAAGCATAAATTCTCTTTTTTTGCTTTCACTGGCACATATGAAAATTCTTCTCTGTGGGAAAATTTTAACTGAGCTACCCCTTTCCAGTCCTCCTGTTTTTTCTTTTTCTTTTTATCTAAGAACTGATAGGCTATTTCTGGTCAGAAGGTGAAACTCGCTCTTGTAATAACAATTTCAGTCCAGCTGGGATAATTCTGAAATGGAGAGCAGGTGGAGTAGGGGAGAGCAGCTGCACTGGCAAGGTTGTGGGCATAAAAAGGGAAGGCAGGAAGGAGAAAGAAATCATGCAGCTGAAAGGAGAAAGAAAGGAAGATGGCATGAAATAGAGAGATTCAGGAAGATATGTTGGAGCGCGGCAGCCACAAATACCACAGAATCACAGAAATTTTGAGATTCTGTGAAGAGATTTCAAAAGGGACATGTGGAGGTTGACTAGATGCCCCCCTGCAGGTCAGAGCAGGGTCAGCTACAGCAGGTTGCTCGATATCTTTTCCAGTTGGGTTTTGAATATCTTCACAGCCTTGTTGGGCAACCTGTTCTAGTGTTTGACCACTCTTAGATTCAAGAAGAGTAAAGAATTTTTTTCCTTGTATTTAAGTCAAATCTCCTGTATTTCTGTTTGTGCCTGTTGTGTCTTGTCCTGTCACTGGGCACCACTGGAAAGAGTTTCTGGCTCTGTCTTTTTTACTCCCTGCCCCTGACCCATCAGGTATTTATATGCATTGATAGGATCCCCCTGCCCCTTCTCTGCTCCAGGCTGAACAGTCCAGCTCTCTCAGCCTCTCCTTGTACAGCAGATGCTCCAGTCCCTTAATCACCTTTGTGGCCCTTTGC